CTTGCAGGCCAAGTCGGAACACGATTTTTCATGTAAAAATCGTGTCTTCGGGTGCTACCCACTGGGTATTTAACATGCTTGTTGCATGCATGACACGGTTTTTCGTGTTAAAAACTGGGTGCTATGGGGTGGCACCCATTGGGTACTCAGGCCCTTGTCAAGTACGCGACACGGTTTTCCATGTAAAATATAGGGTACTTTGGGGTTGTACCCACTGGGTACTCAGTCCGTCTGTGAATTACACGATTTTTAACACGATTTACACGATTTATCGTGTAAAAGCTGGGTCCTTTGGGGTGCCACCCACTGGTGGTCCGCCTGACCACTCGATTGCTTAACACGGTTTTATGTGTACTTTATTGTGTATTTCCAAGCGTCATCCGCGTTGGACAGCCTATCATGACACGCACTTCAGTCCCTTTCCATAGCAATCATTTATTACATTATCAGCCAACGGCTACAATCATGGGCCCCTATTTACATTTGCTGTCTTTTGTACCAAACCAAACTGGTGCAAACACATCCTAACCAATCAAGGCTAGTCTACATTGGTCACATAAGCTAGCTATGGCAACCCAGGAAAAACATTTCTGCAAATGGCCCAATTTACTATTTCCCACTGCCCCACAATTGCCCCAGGTGATGAGCTTGGTTCCATTTTTGTTGTCCTTCAAAGATGGTGTGACCTGCGCCACGGAAACACAAACATTTCGCTGGCAATTGCGAGACTTGTGGCGGACTGGAAATGACTTGAAAAGCACTGCAATTGTCAGACCAACCTCGAGCTGCTCATCCCAATGTCGGTTTGGAGCAAGTCTGCAACTGATATATTCATCCCAACATGGCAATTGGCAGCTACAGATTCGAAAATTGGCAAAGCTACAGTCGTGCATTGCCACGATCACCACACCACCTCAAGAAAAACTAAAAGCGACCTCCATCGGCAGCCGCCCATCGTCAGTTTGTTTGTTGCAACCAAACCTTTGCCAAAAGCATGACTGCTGACAATCCATGAACGACAAACACACTCATACAATGTGAATGCCACAGGTGTACAACATGCATCCATGCTGGAAACACCACCACACACACACACTCTCACAAATTCATATGCACTGGGCAGAAACATAACCATTGGCCACAAACTGCTTGATGGCAAAGTCTCACACTCACACAAGAGTCGGGGATGGCCATCGCAAACCATGATCTCTGCCAGAAGGTGCAGCCATGCTGGAAGTACCACCACACACTCACTCTTCCAAGCGCATATGCACTGAGCAGAAATAAACCATCAGCCACAAACTGCTTGATGGCAAGTCTCACACTCACACAAGGGCAATTGGCCATCGCAGACAATTATCTCTGCCACAAGGTGCAGCCATGCTGGAAACACCGCCACACACATGCTCTCCCAAACGCATATGCACTGAGCAGGAACATAACCATCAGCCAGAAACTGGTTGATGGCAAAGTCTCACACTCACACAAGAGCAGTTGGCCATCAAAGACAGTGACCTCTGCCAAAAATTGCAGCCATGGAAACAACGCCACAGACACGCTCTCCCAAACGGATATGCACTGAGCAGGAACATAACCATCAGCCATAAACTGGTTGATGGCAAAGTCTCACACTCACACAAGGGCAATTGGCCATCACAGACAATGATCTCTGCCAGAAGGTGCAGCCACGCTGTCATTTCTCACAAGTGTATATGGGACATGGGGAGCTTTGCAACATTCAGGCATGAGTTCAAGCACACGAACTAACAAATCTCACACCAATTGGACCCCACAAGCACAATGAGCTTGTCATGTTGGGATAAAATCCACTGCTCATGGGACAAACACATCAAAGGTGGCTCTTGCTGCATTCGATGTACCACGAGTAGTAAACAATGGGCCACATCTCGATCACCATTCCCCTTCGCACAACATAAGGATGAGAAACGAACCTGATCTTGGGGCAAACGTGGGTTGATGGGTCCTGTTCTTGCACTCAAGGAGTTCGGACAGGCTGGCCTGGAGCCTTACTTTGCATGTACCTCGAAGGGTCGGAGGCGGAGGCGGGAATTTACTTGCACCCGTTTCACCTTCGCGCACCATAAGGGAAAGAAACAAACCTGATCTAGGAGCAAACGGGGGCTAATGGGTCCTGCCCTTGCGCTCGATCTGCTGCGGACAGGCCGGTCGGGAGCCTTGCTTTGCATGTATCTCAAACGATGGCAGGCTGCCAGGAATTATACTCGCACCCGTTCCACACTCACGGATCATCACCTGCGATGCCGTGGTGGAGTCCACGATGTGCCAGCAGGCCGTGCGCACTCCCCTGGTACACCGCTTCGCGAAGGGCGGCTATCCCATGGCAGCACGCGCGCAGCGGCTAGAGAGCAAAGGTAGCCAAGGCCTGGCCCATGGCCATCATCACTATGCTGGCGACCATCGCCGGTGTAGGGCCTCGATCACGGTCACACTGCCTGCGATCTTCCCTGGGGTTGGGCAGGGATCCGAGCGGTGGGGAGCGGCCGCGAGCGGCCGGGGCCTGGTTGCAACGCCAGGGCCGACAAAACGCGGGGCGACGGTGGCGTTGCTTGGTCTCGAAAGAGCGGGCCACGGCAGTGGCGGCAGATCATTGGTTTCAAATTTCGGGATGGCACACCACACCAGGCGATGCGATGTGGTGTGGACTACGCCTGCCTGCCCCGAGACCTGTCCGCCAGCGCGCGATCGAGGCAGACGCAGATCGCGGGGCAAGCAACCGCGCTTGCCTACGGGGATGGATAACATACAACTCAAGCAGCGAGCTGTGGTCGCCTGGCTGCTTGAAGTTGACATGTTGAATGTCTTGTGGTTGGGTACATGCAAGTATAAGCCCCCTGTGCGCGTGTCAGGAATGCGCCCAGGAACCAGTTCGGAATGCAGCCCGCCACAAACGGAATGACATGTAATTGTAGTTTAAATGCACTTGATGGGCGCTGCTTAGACGAGTTGACTCGACTCGTCTAAAGACGACCCGTCTAATGCAAAGACAGAGTCAACGTTGCAATTGACTTCACCATAGGGCAATTGAAAAACACGCAACGACTTTGGAAAGGAGTGGCATTCATAACAAAGAAGTTTGTGTCATTGGTACACAACCAACCCGTGGCCGCGTTTAGGGTGGATCACTCGTTAGACGAGTTGTCCTTAGACCACATGTCCTTAGACCACTTGTCCGTTAGACAAGTTGTTTTTAGACGAATGGGCCAGACACCGCGCGGGCGCGGGAACACGCAAATACTATTTTTTTACATGGGCTTGCGTGTAAAAACACAAACACTATTTTTGCATAAAAACGCAGAATGACAGGCTGTGTTTGCGCCGTAAATAATAAGTCCGATGTAGGCTACCGGTTGATAAAGTGGTTGATGATTGACTGACGCACATTGTTCGGAGTCGCTGGGAACATCCCCAGGAGCGCACGCCTACATAGGCGTGGTATAGGGACGACATACAGTGCTGAGACATTGCCACTGGTCCTTAACCGTCTGAAACATGGCGAGGCTAAGATTCTATACTGCAGCAAGCGAAATCCTCGCGTCGGAAAGCTGACAGATTGCAGTGGTCTAAGTTAGTCACAATATCATGAGTAATATCGTATTATTAATATCGTAATATCGTGCAATCACGTTATTATATAAAACGATATTGCATAAATGATATTACATTTTCTTTTACATGGCATCGGCCGGAATGGCGACTTCGCTCACGCATAATTAGTCATCAAATCGCTAACGGCATGAGGGCTCATACACCCTAAACCCTAAACCAAGGGCAAGCCCAATTTCGGTCGCAGGGCTCGTCGAGACTGCCATTCGATGACTAATTGATACTGGCTCGATACTTTTTGGTACACCGTTCAACATTTTTCGTACCGGCGCGAATTTGGTACCAGAATTAATATGCGTTGGCACTAGTCTCAATTTTGTGTGGTACATCGGCAGTTTGGTACCAGATTCGATATTATTTGGTGATAGTTTCAAGTTTATTTGGTACGGCTGCAGTTTGGCGCCAGATTCAATATTGCTTGGTCGGAGTTAAGTATGCGCACCATGAATTGGCATCGCAGGCTCGAATATAATATGAAACCACGGCACACAGCACCACATCCAACAGGACGCAGTTGGGGGCCATTGTGCGATGTACACAGCGGACCTGGCGAGAAGAGCCCCGACCAGCCGAACGCATCCCCGGAGCCCATCGTACATTGTTGGCCCCCGCCTCCAACGTCCCATCGCCAGAGGCGCGCCCAAGCCCTCTCACCATGGCGCCCCCCACCTCGCGCCAGACCTCCAGAATCCTCCCGCCCCCCCACCCGCAGCCCCCCGCGGCGAAAAGGGAACGGCCCGTTGCCGAGCGGCGGCAGCCGCCGTCCGGAGCGGCGCCCGGCCGCGCCGAGGGGGCGAAGGGCCCAGGCGAGCCCGGCCAATCGCATCGAGGCCTGTGGAATCATCGCGGCGGGTGGCTTTTCTGCTTTGGGCTGACGCGCGCTGCGTCTGGTCATTGTTGTCAGAGGCTGGGTAGGTTGAGAGGAGAGGAGGGGAGCGAAGGAGAGGAGGAGAGGCGGGGCTCGGCGAGTGGCAGGTCGGGCAGGACGAGGCGGGTCCCCAGAGTCTTCCGCTCAGCGCGGTGGTGGCCATTGCTTGGTCTGCTGCCCGTTTTGTTGGAAAGTTCTTGGGGGTCGTGTCGCGAGTCGATCGACAACGGCCATGCCGGGACGGCATCGTTGATCTGACGGCCAGCGTCGGCTATTTGGACCGGGAGGCAGAGCGAATGCGTCCTTATCGCGTAACGTGGTGGTCCCTATTTGCGCGGCCTGCTTTCGCCCTTGTTGGACATCTTCTTCGCGGTATATTTGTTGAAAGATTCTTCGCGGTTGTGTCGCGCTTCGCTGTCGAACGGGATTGCGGAGACGGTGTTCGCCGTTCTGACGGCTCGCGGCGGCAGGTGGGGCTGGGGCGCCGATGGCAAGCAAGATGCAGCTGGACGAGTGGGCGCGCGTGGCGAAGGTGGACCCCATGATGGTGCACTACGGCGTGATGATCGTGGGCGTGGCCGGCTCGGTGATGAAGCTGACGGCCAGGTGGGATGGAGGATTGCACAGCCTGGACAGCTGGCCGTGGGTTGGGCGAGAGTCACGTGCTGGGCGCTCGGAAATTGTGCGGAGTTGCTGCCTATTTTGTGGCCACGTGGACTGGTGCAGTTAGGGGTTACCGTCGTTGAGTTCTGGAAGCCGTTCTGTGCGCCATCGGCTGGCGCATGGCTCTGGGATGTGGGCATTGCTTTTTCTGGGGGGGGGGGCGCGCACCTGGCCGTTTTCAGCGTGGTGGTCTGAGCACCACGGCCGTGGTTCACGGGGTTATGAGGACAAGGTGGACCAGAGAGTGTTTTTGGGACAGAGAATGGAGCTGCTGTAAATGGGCGCATGCCTCACGAGCAGTGGGTGCCATGTGTGGGACTCTTCTCCACATTGATGTGGCAGCTCTGATTTTGGCACAAGCAGAACACACCATGGGCATGGCGCACCTGTTGATGTAGAGTCCTTCGTTAACAAGTGGATAGAATGATCTAGTTTGAACAATGCTTCATCTGTGCACAGCATCTCTATCCTTGTTTGGAGAACATGATTTGATGACAACGGCCTTGCCATTCCATCGTGATGAATGATTTGCTGCCTTCATCGTATTGAGTTCAGGGGCTGGAGATTGCTGCCTTTGTGTGCCTCCAGCCATGCCTGCGATGGATTCAAGTTCAAGCCTGCAGCAGCCGGCAATCAGGGCCCTATTCAACCAAATCCCATCAGTTCCTGACTGACATGACCCTAGAATCTCTGCAGTTGGGAAAGCAGTCTTGCAGAGCTTCATTCTCAGGATGGATTGGGATGGGATTTGCAGTTTGCTTGATGTTCAAGGGAATTTTGCCATTGTATGTGTTTCCTGGCAAGAGAGTCCCTGCTGTTGCCCTATTCCTAAGCTCATGTTGAACAGACATCTGAATTAGCTGACCTTGTTTCCTGCAAGGTTGACACAATGGCTGTTGCTCCTTTCAGGGTGAGAGTTGGGTCTAGCACAGGTTCCTGAGTGGGTGATTTTCTGCACCATAAAGTTCCTTCTTCTTTGTTGCAGGGCTCACAGAGATGTTTTCTCACTTTCTAGTGACACGGTTGCCCGCAGTAGCTGGGGTGAGTGACTCCTCCACCCCAGCCCCACTCTGCTTGTAAGTTCAAAACACAGCCCCATTTAGGACAGGGTCCTCCAGGCTGTGTGTACCATGAAGATTTACAGGCATGGGACAGACTTGTTGCTGTCAAGTGTTGATCATCCATGCTTTTGTGAGTACAACAACAACAACAATGTGACCATTCCCAAGCATCCAAGAACCTTGCATGGTTGGCCTCTATGCACTATAGTGCAGATCGGCACCATGGTACCCATTCTTGCCCACATCCTCTGGCTCGCCTGATAGCTAGTTTGACTGCTCAGCCGCTTAAGTGCACTATTGGCGTTGTTGCCACTGAATTCTCCTGCTTGCTATGTCTGCAGTGCCAACAGGCGCATTGCTGGCATATCGCCTAGCAGCAGCTGTGTTTTGCACATGCATCATGGTGGGCGAGATGGCCACATTTGGCATCAAGGAGATGAGGTTCTTCACACAGTGGTGGGCATTTCCACTCCTTGTTCAGCCTGAAGCATGCCTTGGATTCGTTTGAGTACAATGTTTTCAATTGAATTGGGATGGAATTCTACTGAGTGTTGTCATATTGCATCTTCTGATACCCTTTTGTGAGCATCAAAGAGGTCAGGTGGCGATTCAGTGCCTTTTCTAGAATCATGTCAAGCGAAAACAGACTCTAGAACTCTGGAATACTACAAGGATGTTTTTTCCAAGCACCTGCTGATGGTTGCACAGGCCTCTTTAACCAGTGCTTTGGCCCTGTTCATCAAAGCAGGCAGTGACGATCCCACATACCCAAGGCGATGATCCCTTGGCTGGCACGCACAAGGCACCCATCCACGATCGAAAATCGCAAACACAGTGTTGGCATGTAGAATGATGATTTGGGAAGCTGAATAAGCAAAATCAGCTGGATCGAATTCTTTGGTTCTTTCCTTTCCCTTCAATGCCTGCAGAGTGCAAGGGCTTTGTCTGCGCTGGCTGTTGGACAGCTGCAACCCATGGAATTGTAACAGGCATTGCAGGCCAACAAGAGTGACTGATCTGTGTTATCTGGATTGGCTTTGGGATCGCTGGTTGCAGCAAGTGTTGAGCACATCGATCGATCCTGAGCCCCTTTTTGGACAGAATATTTCGTGAGAATGGACGCATTTTCAGTGCTGAACTTCGATAACAGGAGTATGGATCTGAATGACGAGAGGGATCGAACTTGGTTTCTGCTGCAGGACTTTTCTCCTTTTGGTGTTTTATTTCATCGTTGCCACACGTTCATCGTGGATGCTGATGAGGAAAAAAGCAGCAAAGGGAGCCAGGAAGCAAAAGCCGCGTTTGGATGCCATTTCCTTCTTCCTGGTTGTTGCGTTTCATGTCAACCTTGCGGTATGCACACGGAGCTCAATGCTGTGCGGTGCTAAACTATTGTTGCTCAAATACACAATGTACTGCATTGGGATTGCATTTGTGCGATAAAAATGAATTGTCTGGGCTGAAACTGGCGAAAAAAAATTTAAAATCCAAACTTTGCTGAGATAATGCAATCATGTCTCATATTGAGAGAACACTGCCTTTTGAATTTCCGGGTAATAGCATGGACATTGTAATTTCGGCATTCCTTCTGCACTTTTGTTTTCCAGATGATTGACAACATCTGTGCTGAACACCAGTTGAAACCTTCAATAAATGTTTGTTGGACTATGCATTTGGCAGCAGCCCATGTAACACCAGCATATGTATGTTGCGCAGATTGCTTGTGTCATCGACATCACATTTTGGTTTCTGATGATTCCCAACTACGAGGCAAACCATCCAGACCCTGCCACTCGTGAATATCTTGGGCGGAAGTTCTACTGCCTCTACAGCTACGTTCAAGTGAGTGGGCCTAATGTATACAGCGTCGGAGGACTTGCATCACTGATTTGGACACAGGGACACCTCGGAAATCTGGTTCCAGAAGTACATTCAACCCTTCCGCATAACAACATAACGCTTGGCCTACTTTTGGCGGAGAGAACAATAAAGTAAATAACGCTCTTCCAATAAGATTTTTGTTGAGCAACGCAGTTGTTGAGCAACGTAGAAAGAATATAAATAACGCTCTGGAAAAAAATGCGGAGCAAAAAGCGTAATGGTGGTTTTTGTTGATGCGGAAGGGTTGAATATCCTACGGTACGTGATTTAGATTCAACTGTGTTTCTCTTTGCACATTGGAGTTGTCTGTTGTAGGGATGGGCTAGCAGAGGCGGCCTGCGATGGGTGAAGGACTGTCCAGACCTTTGCAAATTTCGTATCCTTTTCAGACACAGACAACGGATGTGTTGACGCTGTTCACATCTCTGTTGGACATGCATCGGACAGCAACGTCAAAAGAAGTTGCATACTGCGGACAGGCTTCTTATTGACCACGTAAACACAGCGTGTATTTACGTATTCTTGTGCCTGTTTACGTAAGAAGATGAAATACAGGCTGTGTGCACGCCACAAATAACAAACCTGACCCTGGATAAACATATCCATGACACAGGAATATCTTGAGCATGGACGCCGCGTCCTGAGTCTGCACATCCAAGATACGGTGCCCGCATCCCATTCGATATCCAGGGCATGCGACTTTTTGCTAATGCGTCTACATGTTCGCATCAGATCGTCATCGCAGGAAACGTCATGTTTCTCTGTCACATACCATACATGACATAATTGCCCACAATTGAGCAATACCGGCAAGGAAGCGAACAAAAACCACACTTGCTTCGTTGCACATCCTTGGGCCGAGTGGAAAACGCACCCTCATCCTGCAGTCGAAACTTTGTTGCCTGCCTGAGTTGCTGCGGTTCGAAGGACGGCGCCTGACCTGCTGTCTTCCTCACAGCACGGCTACAATGTGGCGCTCTTGTTGGGCGACTTCGCACTGAACGACATCCCGTACTTGAGGAGCGTCGCCCCTTGGAGCATGCTTTGGGCCATCGCGTACGGCATCTTCACGTCTGCCTACCACAGCAGAACGGGCACGTGGCTGTATCCGGTAGGTTTCTTCTCTCAGACCAAATGCCGGGATGTCTTCATTTATTGCTTATTTGTGTATTGTTTGCGGGGTCTAGATGGGTGGGAGGCTGACTTAGAGATGGAATGTGTCTATTCCAAGCCGCGATGCTGTTCGCTACGTCAGCACAGCCGCTGGCATTGTTTCCTGTTGAAGGGTTTGCGATAGTGCTTTGGCGTGTTGGCTAAATGACTCATCCTGCATCTCTTGGCTAGCATGGCGTCAGGTGTTTCCAGCATCTGCATCCTGCATGTGCTGTTGAATGCAGGCTCCAAGCGCTTCATGTTCTGAAAGAATGTTGGTTGTCCTGGTTGCAGTTTGTGGACACGACCAACTTGGTGTCGTCCATTTACTTCGTCTGTCTTGCAGCGTCCCTCCGGCTGTTTGGATTCATGCACAAGCTGCTGTACTGCTTGAAGTGCTTTCTCATCAGAGCCTCAAGGGATCGGAGCGAGAACGGGGCACACAACGGGAAGAGCATTTGAGCAGAGCGTGCAAGGAACGCACCTGTGCACGATGTTAGCTACTGATGATTTGTTTGCACGGGACAGAGCAAGTCTACAAAGCGATGTAGGGAAAATTTCTTGGTCGTTTGCCTGGTTGATTTGCCTCGGCCCGCAACGGCAATTTTGGCAGCGAGGAGTTGTCCAACTGAAAGACCATCTTCGATCCTCGTGGACCATGTCACCGTGGTGGCTTGCTTGGCGTGCGGAGGGCCCAAATCTGTCAGATTGGCGGTGGTGGCAGACTGGAGAGCTCGTGCTGATGTTGCTTTCGTGGAAAGGGTCTGCGGTGATCAATGCATTTTTCTTTCTGTTATCTATGGCAGTAACAGGTCAACATATCACACCAACTCCAGCTGTATGCTTGCTCTCGCGCCGAACTACAAGTTGATTGGCGTCTGAGTGCCGCACCACATTGTCAGGTGTCAGGGCGTTGTCCCACAGAGCGCTACAGTGGTCGTTCGGTGCACCACACATGCCGCAGGCACCTGTTGAGTCCAAATTGCCATTGACACAGTTGCTTTCGCTTTGGTATTTGTCAATGATTATACCAATTGATGTGTATATTTGCAGAAAGGAAGTGTGTAGCATCAGTGCCCGCAGTGCCATACTCTGAGAACGCGCTCAATCACTGGCCACGCATTCAGCGTGTCACAAAAGCGACATTCTGTGACATGGTCCGGAAAGGTCGCTATTGTGGCCCTGCCATAACCTGCACCACTTGTGCATGGTGGTGGCAGCAAGTACCCAATTATGTCAATAGTGGCAAGCTCACCCAGCATCAACAGCATGAAATGTATGATGGCGTTGCACGTGTATAAGGTCATATATAGGACGATGTCCCTTACATGCTGCACTGATATTGGGCTTGTTGGCATCGAATGACGGTACATGACCTGGCTTCCACTGCGGTACTGCGTACCCGATGTGCCATCAGAGCGAGCCGTGTAAGCCATCCTTCACGGTCTATCTACTGTGCCTTGGACGGCCGTGGGCGACAGTGCGTCGAGCTGCAACCAGCGTTGCCCAATGTCATAGCATCAAAGAGCTGTGGCTGTCTCTTGCACGTGGTCCGGCCTACCTCACGTAAAAAGGCCCTAACTGTGAAGGATGACAGGCAGCGGGGGTGGCACCGACGATCCCAGCATCCACGCCGAGCAATGGGGTTACTAAGGAGCGAACCCACTGAGCAGCAAGGTGAAGGAGCTGCGGAAAACACATGTTGCCCTTGCAGGACACACCCCACACTTAAAGCATGCGACATGTAAATCACTGCCGCCAAGGCTTGTTCAGCTCCATTCTACGCACATTCCTCCTCAACTGCAGCTGGTACCTGGCAGCTGGTGTGCAGAACATCCGGGCCTGGAAATATAGCAAACCTGGAAATTTGTTTTGCGCAGCACCCCAGATTTCCGAAGGAGTGTGGTCCAAAACGGAAAATAACTGATTCCAGGATTCAGATTCTGGCCGCTGGGTTTTTTCAAAACCAGGTTCCCACCCTTCCCTTGTTATGTGTGGATGTTAGCAGGTTGCCCTCATCCCTCCTGGACGAGGATCGAAGGGCCTCCTCACCTGGTCAACTATGGCAATGACCAACCGCCCATGACATAGGCCCCAAATGGGATTGTCTTGCCGATATCCCAGAAAACCATACAGACGGAGTGGAGAAATGTAGAGAATGTGAGAAAGGCCACCCTACCCTGCACAAAATATTGTTCGTGTGCAAACAAGATACCAGTACTTGCTTGGCATGTCCATTATCGTTAGCAAAACAAGTTCCTTACCTCACCGCCACATCTCTAACGCCCATTTCACTTTGTCTCCCTCGATTACGGAAGGGAGTTGGACAGCACTTGGCCACAATGAAAGGGTAACGTCTACGGCGGTCTTCGCTCGTTCTGACGCTTTCTCCGAATCACACACGTGTCAAATTCTGCCCCGGCTGCATTAACCACAGATGTACTACTGACAAGTTGGAGCGTTGCGGACAGATAGTTACAAGGTGCCGATAAGCTCCAATATCCAGCTGCAACTGTCTGTCATTGCTGAGCAACCACGCTGACAGATGTCGCCTTTTCTGTCCTCTGTGTCCTCCAGGCCATGAAAATATGAATTGTCCTGATGCTGTTGTCTCCCGGCGGGGCGCGGCCTGGCGCCTGTTTGATGGGATCTATGCCCAAGACGCCGTGCCTTACATGGACCCAAACACTATAGGCCGCATGTCCAACGTTGCTTTGTGATTCCGTCGCATAGCAAACGGCGTGATTGGATATGATCGCCCTATCATGGGAAATGAGTTCGAGCGTGCAAAATGCACCATATTCCATACGTCAGGGTGCCGAAATGCCACGAGCATTCAGAACCTCAAGTACTGCTGCAACCTCCTCTCTGTCGCTCCCACCAGGAGCCTATTGGGGCTTTAAAAAGGCGGTTTCTGCCCAGTCACCTCCCGATGAGAGTGCCCACGTGTGGACGCTGTCCTCGAGAGGAAATTCGCAATTGCTTGTAGGTTCAGGCGTTTTCAGGACCCGCGACAGACACTCGAATCAATGTCCACTAAAATTTCCCTAGGAGACGGGTATGGATCTATATGTGTCATAACGTGACAAGCCAAGTCTTCTCATCAAGCTGGCCGTGACGGTTCAGGGGAGTTGCTCGAAGATGGGTTATTTTGCCTGCCTGTGTCACCCGTCTGACGGGCGAAACAATGCGTAGCCAGCAATTGAACCCCCCTGTCCATTTTAATCACAACTGAGTATCCTGCTGGGGGTTGGGTGGGGTTGGGTGGGGTTGGGTGGGCTTGGGCGGGTTGGTGTGTGTGTATGGGTGGGGGTGGGGTGGGGTGGCATTATGAAGCGTCGTGGACACTGTAATGTTACATAGCTGTATAACATTAGAACTATGTAACACGGACCATAACGTAACTAATTCCTCTGTCCCATATTGATTATCGTCTATTTGAGAGAGTTGGTTACAAAATACGCCCGTGAAATTGCACCAGGAAGTCATAATCGGAAGATTGGGTACTTGACTTGGGTACTTCCTTCACTACTAATTTTCAAGAAGTGAGAGACCCCACCCTTCTCAGCGCCGGGCGAAAGGTGGTTCTGGTAATTTTTTGAGCGGAGAACTCGAGGTTTGCTAAGCAAAATACCCTCGCTACTAACTGATGTCAAATCCACAATTCCTACGGAATTGGCCTAATTATTTGACCACACACTCCAAACCGTCATCATTTTTCACAGAACAAGGCAATGAGGTACCCGTCAGTCCCTATTTGCCCAAGCAAAGCAGTTTCCACGATCAAATTTATGAGCACAGTTGTAGACGAATTTTCGTTAAAAATAATACTTATGATGGAGAAACAGTGCGGCAAATTCATTCATGCCATTTAATATGGGACAGAAGAAGTAAATAAAATTAGACGGTAGTTGTGCCCCGAAGGCATGATTGCCAGAACTTCGTGGCTTCCCAAGGCAGATACAGACCTTTGTACTTTGTGTACTTTGTACTTTGTACTTTGTGTTGGATCTTTGTACTTTGTGTCTGTATCCAAGACGCGGGGATTGGGGTGCAATTCTGTGCCAAGCATTGCGGGGCCCATGTTGGCTGGTAGCAGAAGATGATGTTGCCTTCATATCTGAATTAAAGAGACAGTTGACGAGTCGTCGCTTTTGCGTTGCAGTAATGGATACATTCACTCACTCCACGACAAATGCCATCTGCTGTACATGCCTCTGGCCACTCAAGAGTGAGGGAGTTGAAACGGCGCCGCTTGTGATCAATCCATTTGCACAGGTTGTGTTTAGGTGCAGTGCAACTCAAGCAGATTTGGCGTCCAAATCATTCAAGGACAAGTAAAATTCTTCAAGCAAGGCACAATGTACAGCAGCTAATATACACTAGTTGAGACAACATTTCGCACAGCAGGTCCTTTCAGATTACTAGTGGCCAGCACCGATCACTGAGCCCATGGATACCTCCATTCTGCCTGTTCGTTCTTCCTCCAACGACCCACGTGTTTCATAAGTGAGCAAGACACTGAGTATCTGGCACTGCGCTTCCTCTCTAGCCAGCGCCCATCACTATTGAACCCTATTTTCCACGAACACTGGGCATAGCCATGTCTCATCTGCGAAAGTCTGTACAAGAATATAACTCAAACCCTTCAGATCCATCCCTGTCCACATCACACTTAAGCCCACTTCACTCTTCATTCTTCAGGATGAGACAGGGCAGGGCCAAAGCAAAGTACCGTGGGGACCAAGGAGGCCTGAATAGAACCCCACGCTCTGTCCCTGATAAAGCCACCAACAACAGGCCAAGTTGGCAATGGCTGTCTTTAAACTTCTTGTATGTTGCAGACCGAAAGCTAGCTGAACAGAAGCTAAAGCGTTCGGTCAGCGTGGTGCACGAACTGGTTGCTGATTCAAACCATTGGCACACACGCCCAACGGTACTCTTGGCAGAAACCCACTGACAACATAGGCAATTTCATGAACGCACTGTCGCACCATTGGGTTTTCATAGTGACTTGGTTAAGCAAAGCTGGAAAAGCAACTTAGAAATGAATGCTTTTGGCCACCAGCGACCGCACTGGATCCCAAACTTCGGCCAGTACCCAAGTGCATGGGTGAAACATCGCCCCGGTCGTGGTCGCCACATAATCAAGCCAACGTGGCCACGCAAACATGACCACAACATGCCAAGCAATGACGAACCCTCTGAAAACGACAACTTCGCACAGAGCCCTGCATTCGTCTTAATTCGTTGAGAATCACAAGAACATCCCCTCATCCACACCACACTCGCCGTGTAAACCTACCCCTGAGCCACTCTCTCACCGTAATTTCCTCCACATTGAGTCCCACAAACCCCACCAAAACAGACATGGCGCCAGCCAGCATGCAAACGGCAGTCCACACCTGTCGCAGCCAATTAGCGTTGCCAAGGAGCAGATCGGCCACAATCGATATGGGCCACTGCATCAGCAGCCCGGCCGTTGCAGGGGTGGGGCCAATGAGGACGACCGCCCGAGCCCACAGGTAATCAGAAAGCACGTTGTCCAACAGGCCTGAAACAAGCAATTCGAGACTAAAATGCACTGCCACAGCAACGGTACCAAATGAATGTGTGCTCTCTTGCTCGAAGCAGTGTAGAATTTTTCTTGATTGTAATTAAACAACATTTACACAAATATTTTTTAAGTTTGGTAAAGCTTCTAACGATGTGCTGCAGCAAACCAGCGATTGCAATCTCATGAGCAGTATGGGAGCAGGCTCTGATGCTTGCTTGCAGCCCACAATCAGCTGGCAAGTGCCCAGGCCTGCTGTATCTGATTCAGAAGATGTAATTCACTATTTGCACCACCAAAAGGGGTCCAGCATGATGCCATCTTGTTGCAAAAACAATCCTGTGTAGTTGTCTGTGGGAGTGACGTGGTCGTTTTGAAGCCAAATCGTATTGATACAACACCACAAGGTATTGTCATGAAGGTAGTGACGGGGATTCACAAAATGCTGTCCTACCGCAATTCGCACTGTTGGGGAAGTGCATATACGCAACACAGAAATTTGTTGTCCTTGTGGGGAGCCAAGTTATTACAAAACTGGCAGTGCAAAATGCAACTGCAAGCATGGAAGTAATGGTATGAGTGATTGTGTATATGTTGGCATAATGTAGAGACTGGAAACCCTTTGCTGCAGGCTGTAAGTTCATCTGCTGGGACAGTAGCCTGATTTCAGGGTCCTGAGTAGAGAAATATACTCTATGGGACAAGGGGGCGTTGGCCAGGCATCCAAGCAGCTCAGAAACGTCTGTGCAGCATGCAGACGTGTCTGAGCGACCTTTGAGAATAGTTTAAGGCTCTACATGTCACATGTAGATGGCCTTGCTGACTGTGAGGCTGAAAGTCCTTTCCAAGGCTGTGTGTGCTACAAGTTGTCACCCACAACATACTGGCATCTAGTTACAGCTAAGCCTTCCATATCTTTTCTGATATTTAGAGGACAAAGCTCATGGTCTGAATGAAATAACGACATGTAACAGACTGACCCATACCGCCTGACAATTATTAATACATATGCATAAAATTCTAGGGAGTTATATACCCCTCACCTTTCACAACAGCCCATCCAAGGGCACCTTTTGGCCAGCCCACAACTTTCACGGCGTCGGCCACAATAAGCAACCAAAGAATAGCACCGATTGTGAATGTAAGGATCAAGCCCAGATAGCCCAGGAACAGAGCCATGTCCACATGGTCATCGTCAGGCAGGCGCTTTCTCAGCATGATCGTGTACACTGAGTAAGTCATGGCTGCAACGACTGCCAGGATGTCTCCCCATAGCTTGTGTGTACCCTCAGAGCCACCTGAGTCCTTGTCCGAAATTGCGACCAGAGCAGTGCCTGCAGACATCACAAATTTTGCATCATGGCATCAGCATTACTGCTCAATACCTGATGCGAGGCCAAAATTGCCTAATGGGAAACCAAGGAGAAAGGACACACTAGTATGATTGCATCAAAAGCATGTTAGCGTTGCACTTCAACATGTTTCGTAGTGTATTTGACAATGGTGCATCCTTGACACATACAGCAGCACCAGATCAGTTAGGTTGCAGTAGTCTATAGCAGCGTGGCTGCCATCACACCTGGTCATCACAGTTTTCCATGCTTCAGAGCGATTTGCACCCAATGAGGCCATACCATCCTTGTCTTTCATCCCACATGATGTGCTTTATGCTGCAGCTTGAAGAAATTGTCAAATTCGTTCTGTACACATTCATAAAATTCCAGATACATTCATTACACATTCATATCAACCAAGGAGATTCCAATAGCCAACTACACTCATACCTTGTTGCTTTGTTGAGCATTGAATGTTCAAAAGTATTTAATGCTTTGTTGAATGTTCATTCAACATTGAATGTTGAAATTTCCAACATGCAAGAATTTGTCCCATCCCACGCACCATACAATTGCCACAAGCCAACTGCCAATGTGCCAGTTAATGGCATGTTACACAGTATAGGCAATGTGAGTATACGATCTGCCTTAAGGGATCAGGATATTGGGATGATGACATCAAATGCCTTGAGTTGAAAGCGCACACAGCTTCATCAGGAGTTCACTCACTATGGCACCATTGATGATGACTGCAGTTCAGGCCTAGAGTATAACCATATAACAAGTTGGAGATCAAACAGTTGACCCAATTAAGGCATTGTTCAGATCATTCATCTGAACACATATGCACCTCAAGTCAGGCCAACATCCTACCAAGTACACACACAAACACCCCTCCCAGCTTGTGTGCAACAAACGGCTCCCTCAGAAACCAGAGACTCAACAAATATGTGAAGAGGGTTGAGGATGAGCTTATGATGGTGTTGGAGGTGACAGACGTGTGGTGCAGTGATTGGTTGAAGGTGAACTGGGCCAGCCACCAGAGTGGTGCAATCTGTCAAGCACATGGATGAGCCATCTTAGCCATATGTCCTTTCTGGACAGTATACACACATAACAGCAACCTGGCATTACAAAATTCTTAAGTCGTTGGACTGTCCACTATATACAGAGTCACTACGCACCTTTGAAAATGAGAATTCATGGATTGCAGATTGCTTTCCAATCCTAAAATACTGTTGAACTTGGCTGTGTCATTAGCAGTAATCCTGTGGCTGAAGGCTGTCAGAAGTATACACGGGATCAACATCACTAATGTGGCTGCAGATATATGGGCGATCTTATGGATCAGAAGGCTACATGGAGGTGCGTGCAGCTGCCTGAAGCTCAAATCACTTGAGAACAGTGTGCCACGCATGGCAATATCATGCTGTAAGGCCAATTGCATTGCCCACATTAAATGTGGTGTGACCACAGGTGCTTGAGGCTCAAGCACATGATTTCATGATAAAGCATACAAACTGACATGCAAGGGGGAAGATCTTCACATGTAAAGACATAATTTCTCAAGGAAATGAGAGTGAAAAAGTGAGAACAGAAATAGCAGGCTAATCAATCACCACACACAACCTTTCAGCAAAGATACGATGCCACTATAATGGCATAATGAATATGTGAATGGCTGCAGGGTCTATCTGGTGTTGTCATTAAACTGGCCATGCATCATGCATCAAACCCAGTGCTTGTCAGAGAAGCCAGGGAGGTTTTGAACAAATTCTTATAATACTAATATACTGGCCTGTACATTAAATGCTTGTCATGAAACTCTTCAAATGGATGTGTGGCAATGCTTGTTTGCGCAGGGAATGTGCATGGGCCCCAATGGAAATGAACAGCAGATAAAATGACAAACCCATCACATTAGCAACTGAATTTCAGAAAGCTGTGCTAAATGCAATATGAAAGTCTTTCCCTCACATCCAACAAAAGGAATAAGCTGTGCCCAGCACAATTGCAACAACATTGCACCCAAGCAACATTGCACCCAACACAGAAGATATGCTCTTAGCAATCGAATTCACATGGATTTTCAGCTGGTGTTCATGCTGCTGCAATATTCTTCACTGTAATGCAATGCTTCAGGTGCAGATATGTGCTTCATAGCATCATCTGCTATTGAGCAAGAATTACAGCAGATTTCCCTGCCTTGTGATATGGCAGCCTCAGGAATTAGGTACAAATATATGGGCACATCTGTGGCTATCTATTCTGCTTGCATTTCCCATTCTTCGAGTTCAGTTGTTTCAACAACACTGCCATGAATTTTGATTAGCATGGTCTTTCATCAAGCCACCATTGTCATCAATATGAAAACTACTTCTGGACAAGGGTGGCATCCTTATTCCCATTCATACAATCTGTATTGCAAAAGGATGTGCACAATTCTTCATATGTAGTTTTTGCCTTTGACCAGACTCAGCATCAAATTCAATGGAGCATGATCACACAGAATACACATAGAATGAATACCATGGGCTCATGGATACCATAAGTTGTTAATGGCACCCAGGATACTTATTTCATCAAGTTCCTTAAAGTACAACTGAGCTGTTTATATTCCACCATAAAACCACTCAATTGATGGAAACTTATCGACAGAACACTCTTAATAAGAGTTTTGTCAAGTAATTTGTCTTTGAAGGTCCTAATGAGGCATTCCAAGTGCTATTACGATTGCACATACTGCAGTAATCTGTGTGGATATGATGCATGCTGGATATCTGTAGATAACATGAATATGCGAAGTATGCAGATGAAACAATCATGTAGACCAATTCATTGTATGGAAAAATACTGTCTTCCACTGTGTTGTAGCACGTAAAGACTTGCAGCAGCAGATATTCCCAGTATACTTCCTGATACATAAACCTAAACTATCATGCTATCAAAACATCATGTGCATCCATATGACAAGCCTCGTTGTCTGCTTAGTGTGCATAATTGAACAACACTGGAGGATGACTGAGCTCTCAGAGCTCCTTGGCAAGCTTTCTGAATTGAGAAAAGCCCGATTTCCACCAGAATTAGCATCGCTACTGACATAGGCAGGCAGAGAGGGACATCCAGGGCAACTGGCAGGAATTGTTAGCAGTGGGGTGGAGGTGTTTGCCGATGCCATCGGTCCATTGGCACAATTCCACAGGAAAAGTCTCATCTGCTGCCAGATGCCAGTGCCCGGATGCACCAGTCTCTGGTATTGGACACCCAAAACTTACAACAATTGGCCCATGTTGGCAGAGGTTGGGACTCTTGGGTCTGAAATGGCAGGCTGTGAATGGGTCCATTCTGAATTTGCCCTTGGCCTCCAACACCCTGTCAGGTAAAGTGGTTTCAATAAAATACACAAGTTTTACCCACTCGCACAAAATCATCTTCTCCATTCCTTGATTTATTTGCACACACGCACCATTACGGCTGTGACAATCACTTGGCTTTCTGTCATTCTTTTAATTGGTGGTGCATTTGCATCACGCCACTCCTCTACTGAGGACCTCTCATCGACCAGTGCATCTCTCTCCTCCTCCACAAAGGTATGTTTCTCATCACATCTGGGGCAGCACAGGCAAGCAACACATTCAATAACTTTCCACTGCAAGTTAGCTTCCAAGGACTTGGGTTCATTATCACGAGGCTTGTAAGGGCTCAAAACATCAACTTAAAGTGATGACTAGAACCTTGACAGGTCTAGGACTTGATAGTCAGGCCATGCCTCTTCAGGGACTCCCAGGTGGCTGATTGTTGGTGAGCATGAGCTACCTGATAATAGCCCGGCCATTAGTATGCCCTGGAATGGGTGGCTTGTTCTTCTTCACATAGAGTGGTGGCAAGTGAAACCATTTCTTTGCAGTATTTTGGCCTCTTCCGCCCCCCACAGCCACGCCTACCACGCCCCCCTCCCAAGCAAAAATTCCATTGAGCACTGGCTGTCAACCGACATGCTTACATAATCTGCCTCAAAGCTTTTGGCAGCAAGTTCAGACGATTCAACATCAAGAGAAGACCGAGGGCCGTGGCACAATCCCGCAAAACTGCGCACCAAGTTCACTGCTCAAACACCAATGTCTGATGTACCCAAGACTCACACGCAAGCCCCACCAGAAGGCAAAGCCACTGACAGCAACGCCCTTCAACAGGATTTCACAGCCCCAACCTGTCGTGTCCGCAAACACGCAGTCCCCCATCTTGTGCGAGGGAAGAGCGCCGCCAGTCTTCCAGGCGCGTCCCACCTCCCTCGCGCAGCCCCGGCAGAAGATAAGATTAGGGCAACAAATCGCACAAGCGCAGCGATCCCAGACCCAGCCCCGGCCCCACCTTCGTCTCCTCGCCTTCATCCACTCTCGAAATTTCGCCGCGGGCAGGAGCACAACCAGCAGGGCGTTGGCGACATACGTCACCACCGCAGCCGGCAGCTGGTTCTCGATGTCCTTGACGATGAACGAGCCGGCCACCCAGATCAGGGCCACGCACAGAACGAAGGACAGGCCCAGGATGCGATCGCGGCGCGCCCTGGCGAGGCCCGACATGGGCCTGGGGGCCGCGTCGCTCTTCGGGGCCCCAGGCAGGAGGCGCTCTACCCTTGGTGCTGTGCTCCCCTCTTCTTGCAGGGTCCTGGCTTTTCCTACTGGGAATGTTGTTTGCAGTAGTCACACCATGTAAATGTTTTTCATCATCCACGAATCACCAACCAGAAATGAAGGATTGTGACCATTGAAGTGCGCAGAAATGATGTCCCTGGCGTGTGGGCCCAAGGCGCGTACATGGCTCACAAACGTGTGGTGCATGGTCTGCTTTCAGGCGGCACCTGGCGTGCCCATTGCGTTTCACCACGCTTGTGATTGTCATGCGTACAAGGTTCGCAAATTGTGCGGGCCTGCGGTGACAAATTTCAGATGCCCTGCACAAATCTACAATGCAAGAAACATATTAAGTCGTTCTTTTGCACATCATTGTTGGATGGATCGTGATACAATTCGAAAATGAAGCACATTTCTGCATATTTGCTTGTTACAATTTCGCCCATCTTGCTGACAGTACTCGAAAGATTGAGTCGCAACAGCCCAGCGAATTTGATGCCAGGCTTCACAGAATTCACTGACTAAAATCAGTGCATTACGTTGCCATATATATGTTTTAAGATTTTTGGTTAAATTTTTCTGTCAACTGTGCGTTGATCTATCCTTTCAGGTGCCAGTGGCATCGCCACTACCTACTCAGCCCCGTTACCTCCGGCCACATATTCCCAGGAGCCTTTGACAAATGATTTTATCAATTTTGCGTTGAACTACCGCTTTCGGGTGCCAATGGCATCACCACTAATTAACCAACCCTGTTCCCTCCTGCCATATATTCCCAAGCACCCTCAAGCATGGGGAAGGAACGCACGAGTATGGAAAGCGCGCAGAATCCCTATATCCCAGTGCAGAAGAAACTCCCATGATGCTCAATGCCATCTGTACCAGGTTTGGTCTTTACGGCGTAAACACTTTTCTATTTACAGCGATTTACACGTAAAATGGTTTTGTACCTTTTTAGGCGTAAATACCGTAAAAATGTATAAAAATGAGCACTGTGTACTTAAAGGCAGTACATAGAGACTGAGGAGCCCGGGAAGCGGAATCTAGACGCGATGAAATATGCACACAACTATCTTTTTCACGGCTACGTCGTTGTCCTTGCTGAGTGCGAGGTGTGCGCTGTTGCCCGTGCTGGAGAGAGTGGAGGAATGATCGTTGATTGTGACATCATCAAGTAATCTGGACCTGCCGGCAAGCCGTAAATAATCGTAAGTATGGCCATGAACATGGCCACTTCTTCTTGCCGAGAGTTGTGGACGGGTGTGCGGCTCCCATTTTATTATGTGTCTAAATTGTTCTATATAGCTGATACTACATTAAAACTGTTGCGCAACATCAAAGGGAATGATCCGAATCGCGAAGTCCGAGCATTGTTTTGGGGCCCATCATTTTGTCACCAGCAATACGGCCACATCACCATTGACGTCTGGCTGAGCACGTGAGGATGATGAACACAAAGTTAAACTGATTGACAACCTTACATTCACATGCGCCCTTGCAAGCTCCCTCTCTCACCTTGAGCATGATCATTCCGCGGGGACCAAATTAACCCGGTACCAACGAGCTACTATAATGCCATTGATCCAAAAGTACCTCCAAGGACAACACCGTTGAAATTCATTTCGATATTGAATTGTTCATCGGAGAAAGCACGCTTGCGAGCTCCTTGGGTACAATTCGGTGCGCCCACCACCCACAAGGTTGCGAAACCACTATGTCAGGAAGTCGCTACGCCATGCTGTTTGAGGCGCAAGGGAAGCTGCTCATCCGGTTCTCAGAGTCAAGGTGATGGGGCAGATGGGGTACAACACCATCCTGCCAATGCGCAGACCAAAGAAGGTTAGAGCGGTGCTGGAATGAAATGGTATTTATCAACTGTAGCCAAGACTATGTAGAGGCGATAGATACAATGAACTCTTAGATCACCCATGGTGAAAAATATCAAATGAGCAGAACTAAATTGGGTCAATTATGAATATAATTTCATACCGGCGGAAATGCTCATGTAAAACAACACCCTCAGCAATATAATGGTGC